GTTCCAATATCAGCCCGTTCCCCCAGTACGTCGGAGAAAACAAAAAAACGCAAAAAAAAAGAAAAAACGCAAAGCCGTCCCTGGCATCTCTTTCGAATTTGCCAGGTTTATTGACCACGTGATCTAAATGACCAATGAGACAGTCACATGGTCGATAAACCCGGACTATTGGACAGAGATGAAAGGATTGCTTTGTACCAGTTGTCTCTGTCGCACTGGGGCGCGACTGTATTGCAGCTGTCAATATATCTGGTATTATAATTATGTTTATGGATGAAACTTTTTAGCTTTATTAGCAGTTAAATATGGAATCACGGAACATCTTTTTTAGAAGTATTTGTATATAAAAATTGTTGAATTAAAAAAAAAATTGTTGTAGGGAATTCTCGTAATATCCAGAACATTATTAAGCATTATGAACTATTTCTTTCGTTTTCGATTTTGTTAAGTTAAAAAATAGATATAGGCTTTTCATTATTTAGCCATTATTGTATTTCATTATTTGTACCGTTGCCATATCTGGTGAGCACATTTTCTCATTTGTAAGGGATATGATATCCTTTGTACATTTGCAATATTTGATGTTTACTGATTGTTTTTTGGAATGGTGTGTTTAGTAATTTATTGTACAATTAATAGGTAATCCTAAAGAAATATGGAAAGTGGTATAGATATTGTGACTGATACATTCCCCATATGAATTTGTTCGATTGCGAATTATCATCCAAATGTTAATGATAAATATTATGTGTAGGATATATGTAATGAAATCATCGATCGACCGGACATCCTACAAAATAGTGTAACGTAAACATGTCGTATGTACGTACATAATTATTTTGTAATTATATTGGTATATATATATACTTATACTCCACCGAACTTCATATTGGTGCTTCCCAGTGTTACCACGACCATATAATGTATATGTTGTATTCTTCAAATATAAAAAGAGAAAGCAGGAATATATGCACAATTCACCATTTTGTTAAGTAAAAAAAAGTATTTAATTCACTTCTTTTAAAAAACCACAAAAACAAAACTGGTGTCAGGTCTTTTGTTTGCCACCAAAAAAAATGGCGGACACATCAAAAAGTGGTATCACTTTTTGAAGGTTGGTTGAACGAGCGTTACCCGTCCTCTGTCTTTCCTTGTCTAAGCTTGGCGCAACTCAGTAATAAAAAAATTGAATTCTATGAAGTTCTTGTTACCATCTTTTGATTTTTTGTCTAATAATCATGAACAAATCAAATATTTTTCAAGACTAATAATATTAATTGATCTTTCCAAGAAATTGATTAATTTCTTAATTGGAAAGATCAATGCTCGGGGTGAAACTTATAGTCAAAAAAAACAAACAAATGGATTAGAAGCAATGGAGCCTCGCAGGATACAATGCCAAACTGAATGATAAGAGATGGAACCACGAAATACAACAATGGAGACCATGGTTCGGAAAGAGAAGCAGAGGAAGACCACAAATGAGATGGGCGGATAATATTAAGAAGATCGGAGGACACAACTGAAAGTAAGTGTATTTTATTTTATTTTACACAAAACTGTGTACTAAAAGACGTCCAGTAATTCCGATTAAATGTGAAGGGGTATATGGTGCGACAATCACGCATGGATCGAACAGGATTGTCCGCAGAATGAATTACATACATATCACCTGCAATAAATATTTTTAAAAACTCCAATAATGAATTTGTTTGATTGTTTGAACAACTATACTAGTAAATACCAACTACGTCGTACGTACCAATCTTTTATGTACATAGCTTTTTTAGCTAGTTACAAAGAAAGACTCATTTAAACCTATTACGAGAAAATTGTGAATTTGGTAACTCTGCGAATCGTTCAAGCTATAAATATGTCTAAATACATATTTACCAAATTTTAATCATATTAAATAAATAATGTTAATTATAAAAGATAATAACTAAACAGTAAATAAAATTTTTACAGTACCTATAGAAAGTTCTCAAAGCATTTAGTAAAATAGGTTCTCTTTTAACACTGTCTATGTTTGTCTAGCCTATACGAACATTACACGTACATACCCTTTTAGTATCTAAAATTTGAAAGGAAATACCTACCTACACATGTTAATTTTTTAATAACTATGAACCATTGGCTAACTTTTGGTTTTATTCCAGTACGTGGTATCAGTACGAGTAGAATGTGTCTTAAAAGCCGATTATCTAGCTAAAGCTAAAAATATCGCCATAGAATCAAGAAAATAAAAAAAATTGGGGTTTCAAAGCTACAAGGGTAGTGAAAACTAGAATAATAATAAACTAAACGGTTATAATTTTCCTAATATGAGTTGATATAACAAAACATGTAGATTATATCAGGAGCAAACCTTTGTCAAATATGCGTAATATAAAATGTATACCGTTTTACTCTCGTTCAGGGTTTATTTTAGTACAAATACTACTTGCATACCTGTTTACTACGTTGGTATTAGGGAGAGAACGGGTGGATTCCGCGCAGTGGGTAAATACGTGCAATATAAAATAACTATTAAACTGAAAACACATATTATGATACACTGTGTAAGCCCATCACTTCACGCTGTCTTCGTGTAGCTCGAGAAGATATAGTACTGGCTGTACACACGTCACAAAATTTAGTACGATATGAACTTACAAAGAATAAGGTGTACTTTCATAGATAAACGTGAGACTGAAATTATTTGACAAGTTACAAATCTTTCAAAAAAATGATTTCTCTAAAATATAAATAGTTTTTACATCATTTACATATAATTTTTATTGGTGTACTTTTATTAATGATTAGGTATTTAATTTTTAATAACACAAATATGTTTTAGGCAATTCCGCGCAATCCTAGTGGAGTAACAGTACCCCACATGAAATATATAGTAGTATTTTGAATTTCAGATGCCAAAAACTTACCATACAGGAAGTAATAATTGCAGCTATGAAGGATGTCAATTAATAGTTGCAATAGAAGCTGTGAGATCTGGACGAAAAATAAAGGAAGTTGACCGAAGGTTTGGTATACCAGAGTAGACATTACGAGAAAGAATGAAAATATGATAAAAAAAACTTTATTTTCCGAAAAACAGTAAGCAGAATTGACGGAGTACATTTTAAAATGATCCAAATTGTTCATCTCCAGATGAACTTCGAAAACTTGTGGTTATTTTCCGAGAAAAATAATATAAAACATGTTTTTAATGCAAAAAATTATTGGTTAGCACTATTCATGAATCGAAATCCACAGATCCGGTTACGTCAGTCTAAAGCTAGTGTGAATAGAATTACCGCATTCTACTTGGAATAAGTAAAATTTTCGTATTTTTGAAATCTCTTTCAAATACAGAACGGGGAAGAAGAGGGAAAGTAATACAGAACTATCTCATATTTCTAAAATCTCTCAAGATTTCATCATCATTATACCACTTGGCCGAAAAGGAATGCCACGCAGAAATTAACAGACATACACCAGATATAAGCCTGACAGGATGGTAGACATAGATAGATATATATTGCTTAGGCAGAAATCAGTGAAGCGGATCAAAGGCAAAATACATATATAATATCGCATTAATATAATATTATCGCATATTACACATATATGCATATTATGATCGCAATTTTACAATAAATTATAAATACATGTACAATGCAAATTTAGTTTGCCTTTGCACATGTTGTTTACTTTATTTGTTCAAAATTGATTTTGTAATAGCAATAGTACAGTTAGATAGTACTTTTTCCGTGATATGTTTTTAGTAGATAAGTTTTTGTTTTCATTTGTTGTATAGTAATAACCATTCAAACATATGATCATTCTTAATGGTCGGCTTATCTTCCGTCAAATCAGCCACACCTTATATAAAAGATTATAGATGATGTTGCTATGTTTTCTTGCGGTCCATGTGTGTATGTTTGACTCACTTCTATTTATGTGCTCTCCTTATATGCCTCAATCCAGGTAAGACCAAAAAGTTATGTTTTTTTTTACCTGTTAAACATGTCTACTAACAGGGCTATAATTGGTTTGAGCTAAGCTGGTCAAATTCAAATGAAATCTCATACATTTTCTATTAAAATTTAGTTGATATGACGAATGATGCCTTAGCACCTGTGATACACCAACTTCATGTAGTACAATTGATCTATATATATGAAGAATGATTTATTGCTTTAACACCTATGTCAGACCTAGTTCTTCTATGATAGTAGTACAATCACACGGATAATAAAGAAAAATATAAAACATTTAATGAGTCGCCCGATTTAAGTGAAAAGCTAGAGAGGGTACATCAAATAGTATATCAATTAAACAATTATATTTGAAAAATATTTCATATGAATATACTATTGGATTCACCGCTACATCAATATTACTATATAAATAATTCACCTTCAATAGAGCAATGTACATGTTAAAATATGAAATCTACAATTGCTGATTTTTGTACTTCCTTCATGAATGTTCCCTGACTGAAATTGTACCGGTTACATGGGGGTTATTACCTAAAGTATGTTTAATTGGGTAGCTTAATAAAGGAATTTGTATAAAATGCGACATGTCTTTGTATATCAACGCATTTTTGGCGACGTGCAAGTACTTGGATGTGATACGAGAAATGATCGTGCGCGAGTAGCGGAGAAATCTTGCATTTTTTACTGCATAATTTCATAGATTTCATAAATTCATATTGTCAATTGGCAAATTGTCATATTTCATATTCGTTTATTTATTTACACCTTCTGTCACTAAAGAAAATGCGATTTAGTAATTGCTGTGTTATAAATTGTAAAAATACAACAAAAAATTGTTGAAAAGTTATTTGGTCATTATTTACTTTCTCAAATCCAGTGTTTATTATTGCATCCATATTAACAGTAATGCTGTAATTTAATAATATATTTATTTGTATTTACACTACATACAACGTTTACCTTTTAATAACATACCCACAGAACCTCAATCTTACTTTTTTTTCTTATTATTTTTTTGGGGCTACGTCCTTGACAGGTATCCGGTAACCTCGATCTAACATGAAAGCGCAGTAAATTTTGCTGATTTACGACACCAGGTGTCGCTCTTCCGAACTTGCACGGTCCCAATAGGACAGTAAATGCTTTTTGTATTAATCTTTTACTTACAAACAGTGAAGTATTGCATTTGTAGCCTAGATATGATTACTTTTATGAATTTTTTAGCATTATTTAACAATTTATTTGATCGACTTTAACAAATTTTGGAAGAAATTGACACTGTAAGAACAAATACATGAGCTTTTGTAATCAAGTTAGTATATATATATATATATATATATATATATATATATATATATATATATATATATATATATATATTATTTAAGCTAATGTGAATAATGATTTTCACATGCGTTAATCTGTAAAACAGATTTTTATTAACTGTTTATTTTATCATACTTTTATATTACATCATATTGAACTCAGGTCTTTTGTCTCGTGCAAGAGGTAAAATTAAAAATATCTAAAATACTAAAATGTACAGACAATATTTAAAAGTTTCTATCTAGATTAATGTTTAATATCAAAATCTGACGTGGCCAAGAAAATGTTACGTTTCGATCTATGGATCAGTGATAAATAAAGAAGATGGGATGAAATCTAAATAACAAACTCTTTAGACAAAATATCTCTGAACCATTTTCATTCTACTCAACATAGTTTTTCTGTTTATAATTATCAAAAATGATCGAATTACTGAATTCTCCACAGCCTTGAAATTGTATGCATCAACTGTCCCTTTCACATTTTGAGAACCACAGTAATTCAACATTTTCTCATATATCACTTCTTTGGACATCGAAATGTTTCCACAGAATAGCAAGCCAATGCTTCATGTTTTCTCTTTCTCTTTAGATCATATTAATGATTTCTCCGTAGCAATATTACCATTAAATGAAAACCAAAAAGTCTTTCTACTGTAAAACGGGTTCCTCGTCAGTTTCGTCATCAGACAAGTCATTATCTTTGGATTTGAACCGTTTTCTGTACATTATTTCACATTCGCGTATTTCTGAGCCTATTAATGGACGAAGCGCTAAACGAAGTGAAGAGAACAGTTTCGGGAACAGGATTTCTTGTTGAATTAGGACCTAAAAAGTAAAGACATGTTTAGAAGCTATAGATAAAATATATTATATACATAACAAGCGTTCAATTTAGCAGGCTAATGTAGGTACATGTATTTTACCTACATTAACCTGCTTAATTTAAAGTGTGTCATTAATACAGGGTGTTTCAAAAAGGTATGTCAAATTAAATCACGCATTCCGGAGACAAAAATAAATTGATTGAATCCAACTTACTACTTGTACCTTCAGAACAAGACAGTCACAGGAATTCAACTCTCCTCTCTTTGTGTGCTTTGTGGACTTCAAGAGAGCTTTTGACACGCTCACACATACGGCCATATGGAAAGCACTGCAGGAAATAGGAATACCAGAAAAAATAGTAAATCTCATCAAAGAACTCTACAGTGACACAGAAAGCAAAATCCTACACAACGGCATAACATCTGACCCAATAGCTATGCTAAACGGAGTAAAGCAGGGCTGTGTTTTATCCCCCATACTATTTAACATTGTACTGGACTCCGTACTAACAAAGGTAAACTCTAATAGAGGAATTTACTGGGGATTAACAAACAGACTGGAAGACCTAGATTACGCTGATGATATATGCCTCCTAGCACATACAAAACAGGACATGCAACTCCAAGTAAACAAAATACAAGAAGAATCAAAGAAGGTTGGTCTAGAAATAAACATCAACAAAACCAAAGAAATGCGATTTGGTACCAGAAACAACCAACCTATTATGATTAACGACCAGAAGATTGAGAGAGTAGCGGAATTTGTATATCTGGGCAGCATAATTGACTGTAATGGGGGTACAGAGCGTGATGTACATGAAAGAATAAATAAGGCTCGCAACGCCTACAACATGCTTAACAACATACGGAAATCCAGGATTTACCCAACTAAAACGAAATTAAAAATCTTCAACACAAATGTAAAAGCTGTATTACTGTATGGCTGCGAAACGTGGAAGATATCAGCACCCATAGTACACCAATTACAAGTTTTCATCAATAGAGCGTTACGAAAAATCCTTCGTATATTTTGGCCTAACCGAATCTCCAATGAAAATTTAAGGAACCAAAGCAACCAAGAAAATTTCATAAAGCAAATAAGGCGAAGAAAATGGAGATGGCTGGGCCACACACTCCGTAGACCGCCAAATGACATTGCCAGGACAGCGCTGGATTGGAATCCCCAAGGCCGACGGAAAGTAGGCAGACCTAAGGGAACTTGGAGAAGGACAGTACTGGACGAAGGGAGAAAAATGGGAAAATCCTGGCTTGAAATCAAAGCACTAGCCAGAAATAGAGTTCGCTGGAGACACTTTGTGGAAGCCCTATGTTCCTCTTAGGAATCTTGGGACTATATATATACTTGTACCTTAGTACAAAAGGGTACACAAAAAAAGTTACAGCCCTTTGAAGTTACAAAATAAAAAAAATTGAAGCTATTGTGTGAATAAGATTAATATTAAAAATAAAATTTTGATATTACAATGGCCTACACATTTCAGGAAATGGTATGCATTTAACTTTAAGTAAGTTGGATCAGATTTATTTATTATCAGATAAATTATGATTTCAATAAACTATCGGAAATATCGTAGGTGAATGTCAAGGAAATAGTGCAGTAGCCGCAAGGCGTTATGCAGTAAAATACCCCAATCGAAATACACCCGATAGACCATTTCTTTCTAGTTAGATAGATTTCTGACCATTGATCGTCGTTTACGGGAAACGGGTACATTCCAACCGCAAGTTGCCGGCAATAGTTGTCGTCCAATAATGGATGTAACTGATGGAGACATTTTAGAAATCATTGAAGAAGTCCCTGGAACAAGTACAAGGGTAATACCTGCTCAAATGTTCCTCACGTAAGGGTTTGGAAGCGTTTGAAGAATCAGCTGCTTAAACCCTATCACTTAACAGCGGTTCAAGAGTATTGGTTGAAGATTATCCTAAAAGGATTGGATTTTGCGATTGGTTGTTATTGGAAAACACTCGAAATGTTAATTTTATTAGAAATATTTTGTTTACCGACGAGGCTACCTTTAGTAGAAATGGAATAACAAACCATCATAACGAACACATTTGGGCCGACGAAAATCTTCACGCCAAAAAAAAAACGACTCATCACCAGAGGACTTGTCAAAGTTAATGTTTGGGCAGGAATTGTGGATAACAATCTAATAGACCCAGTATTTCTTCCCAACAATTTAAATAGTGATAATTATTTGCAGTTCTTGGCAAACGATTTACAAGAGTATTTGGAAGAAGTGAATATTGCAATAAGGCGAAATATGTGGTTTCTACAAGATGGCGCTCCACCACATTACAGTAATGAAGTCCAATAATACCTTTGCAGGCAGTATCCTGGTCGATGGATTGGAAGGGGTCGTGACGCATCTATTTATTGGCCACCCAGAAGTCCCATGGGCTTTTGCTTTTAGGGGTTTATGAAAGAGAAAGTGTATTCTGTAACAATAGAGGACGAACAACAATTGAGGATTAGAATAATTGAAGCTGCAAATCAATTTCGTCAGAAAAATATGATTTTTCAGAGCATTCGGATTTCCTTATTAAAACGATACCGAATATGTATATTGAAGACGAAGTTGCATGTAATTTTTTAATGGTTAATGAAAACAACCTTAACTCCATAAAAACTGTTTGTTGAAAAAAGTGATAACAGGCAAAAGAATTTTAAAAATAATGTGTTAAACTAATGATGCCACAAAATTCATTTGATTTGAACGTACCCAAAAGTTTGGTGGGGTTTAGGACATAAAACACCCCCTCAAAATTTTTTTTGTGCTCTTAGATTTTGTTGTTTCTTTTTTATGAAAAATGCTTTCAGAACAAGAAAGTAACGTGTCCATTTTTATTACAAAATGTCAAGTAGTTTAGAAGATAATGCAAAAAACAATTTTTATTTTGTAACTTCAAAGGGCTGTAACTTTTTTTGTGTACACTTTTGTACTAAGATAAGTTGGATTCAATCAATTTATTTTTGCCCTCGGAATGCGTGATTTAATTTATGATACACCTTTTTAAAATACCCTGTATATACCGCATAATAAATTCTATGTAATTTCTGAAATTTAGTAGTAATTTTTTCTTGATATAATACTTTTTGATTTTTTTTTCAAAGCTCTGAATTTAGTTGTACTTTATCTTTCTTGCGTACAGCACTATAATGTAGCTGATCTGACTGCTGCTTTGTTTATTTTGCTCCATTAAATGAGAATTTAAAATCGACTCTCTTGGTATCCGCCTATTATGCAATATATAGTTTTAATACAGTTTGGCGTTTCGTTCCTGCTGCATCTCTACTTCAACGTTCAATTCCTATCAGAATTACAGAACCATCGAGGCTGGTAAATTTTTATATGAAGTAGTATAGCATATTTTTAATAAAGTAGTGTTGTTTGAGTACACATTATAATTCTCTAGACCGAAAAAAGAATAATTACCCACCTGTTTGATCCGTTGACTTTCCTTGGTTAATTTCGGACTGGAAGAACTAGTAGGTACTGGTAAATTTTCGTTGGTACTATACTGACGTACAGCTTTTTCACGGACATATACAAACGGTCTGATAACCCGTAACTCATGTTCCCTAAAAAAATACATTGATATATATATATATATATAATATATATATATATATATATATATATATATATATATATATATATAATATTCTTCCGTGTAAATTACCTAATATAATAATGTGCTCTCATCGTTCTTAATTTTCCCGTATGAAAAACAGAGAGAAGAAAACTCTCACAGAGATCATCTAGATGCTGGCCGATGGCTAGAACATTGTACTCAGAACTTTTGGCGGAAGAATACAGTCGATGCCGTAAAGCTTGTGTACAAAAACTATAGTAATTTTCTTTAGCCCCTTCCAGTTTTTCTAAAAAAGAAAAAAAATATTTTAAGTAAATAAACATATAGAATTCGTATTACTGGCTAAAAAAGCAAATAGTACAATGTCAAACATGTAGAATAGCTACAAGTTTCTGTCAGAAATGTTTTGAAACAACCAAAGACAGTACGTCATAACTCCACAATAAAAAACTAAAAACTATTAGCAATATACAATGGCAACCAACAAATAAGAGCAATCGGGTCGGTACATATGTATTAACTTCGGAGTTACATATCTATCCGATCGGCTCTCGATCTTGATATTAATGGGAGTAAAATATTGTTCAAATTTATATCATATTTACAATTTTTGAAAATTCATACTTTCGTTTCATATCAAATATTGTCACAGTCACAACTGTATAGCAAATTTAGTAATTAATGTTTTGATATATTAGCCATATCTGGCCAAATGTTGTACCCGCGAATTGATATTAAATTCTGATCTTTCTGTGCTTGCTACAGTTAATTATAGATGAGTTGACTTCTTATTAACTCGTAAGTATTGGTATAAACTTATTGCGTACTTCTTCTTTCAGTAGTGGTAATCTGATCTTGCTAAATTTACATTCTATCGATGTGTTTGCTACACTTTTTCTTCATTTAGTGAGATGAGGGTTACTTCTTTGATTTTCTTCGATCCTCTTTGTGCTATCTGTTTCTATCATGAATATTAATGATCTTTCGGTTGGGCTATGCTTTCGTTACCCAGACATATTAATTTATCTGAGTTGTCAAAGTCTGTGTATTTTTAATGTGTGAATCATGCTCATTCATCATAACACTTAGTGGTCTTGAAGTTTCGCCTATATAAAAAATATTGCATTCGCAAGGTATTTTATAATATCTATTATATAAGATCTACTTTATAATAATAGATCTCAGTGTGTTGGCTGTTTTTTTTTTAAAGCCTTGTATATATAGTATTGTTGTTCTCTTCAAATCCCTTCTTGTGGACATTTCTGGATGGTTTTTGATTTTTGTAGTCTTTTTTTTTCTTCAATCTTGTGGAACTCCTTGTTTATAAATGACAATGGATAATCATTTTTTATTAAAATAGTTGTTGTGCATTTTTATTAGCGCTATTTAATTTAGTGATTTTACGATTTCCTATTTAATATACATATATGTAGTGGTTTGAATGACAATTTAAGTAACTGTTGGTGCTGGCTCATTTTCTGTAGACTTTAGTTACATAAACTATATCCTCCTTTGTGATAAACGCATCCAGAAATGTTCAGGGCTTCTGGCCCATGAGGCCATATGGAAATACACTATCTACATATCTCCAATATACTAAGGGTTTTTGATCATGTATGTACACGATATTTTCTTTAAATACCTCCATTAATATATCTGCTAATAATGGAAATAGTAAAGGGCCCTTGGCTAATCCAAAGTCTTGTTCATAAAATATTTGTCTAATTGAATAGGTTTTAATAACTCCATTACACCTGATACAGTCAGTGTTGTTTTAGTTGTCAATTAGTCCTTCTGTACTTTGATTCTGATTATTTATCACCCTTTGTGACCATCTTATCCGTTTTTGGGGAGAAAAAACTCCGCCTTTTCTTTTTTTTTTTCTTGTATAATATTATTAATATTAATTAACATTTTCTCTAACCTGATCTTCTCAACTGCACAGTGGTTTCCCTCTAAGTCTTGTATTTATAGGTACATGTTCGATCCATTTCAAGCTTAATGTTGCAAAGTTTAATCAATTCTCCAACCTAACTTATTCATTTTCGATAAATATATATGCTAGATGGCTTGTTTTACGGTATATATAATGTTTAGTTCAGAAGTTTAAAGTTCTATATCGGTTCCCACAATGTGTAACGCAGTTTAGTTTGTTTTACGTTTTTTCCATTATGTCTTGGCATTATTTAAAATATCTAGGTATAGCCTACAGCACTACCTACAGCAATATTAAATTAATAGAAGTTTTAACGAATTTACTTACAGAATATAGAAAATTACAGATACGTCTCTAAAATTACCGAAATTTGTTCCTGGAAGATACTTTGCAATATTTCAACGGTTGGTACATAGTTTAGAGAAACACAATGCTGTTATCGTCCAAACTAGATTACGCTATATGGCTAAAGAACACTTTTCCCCTTTCGGACTGTCTTCGATCTGGCACTGTCTGATGATTATCGGTAACATGCCGTACTATGTACTAAGACAAACTTTCAGAGAGAAAAAAACAGGCATTTATGCTCTATGGTGTATAACACGGCGCCATCTATAAAACTAATTACAGAGAATTAGATCTGGCAGATACGAGGTATTTTCAAATATTTTAGCGGTTTATACGTAGTTTAGATGCACAAAATGGTATGTATTTTCTATAATCGTCACTAGATGGCGTAACGTATAAATCACTTACGTAAGTGGAAAGTTAACTTAAAAAACTTTCCGTTCTATCCGAGTCTATCTTTCAGGTCAAAGACGACAGACTTCTAGAGAGAAAAGACAGGCAGATATTTGTTTCCGGAATATAGAGGTATTTTATATATTATATATTAGAAAATAAGGGAGAAAAAATATTATAAATTATGTGGGAGACACTAGAAAACAATAAACAGATACAATCAATAAGTAAGTGGATCGTATTAAAGAAAGCAGTCTAGTTGTCTCGAAAGAAATCAAAATTAAGTTCATATTCTTAGGTTAATAATGTAAATGATTTATGTATTGATCAAAATTATATATTTGTACAAAGTACTTACCAGGTTCACTTTCGACATCACATTTTCTGTCATCTATGATATAATGAACACCTAAACTCTTCAAATGTGGTATCAGCACGCAAGGGTCACATCCTGATGAATCAGGATCTACTGTTACTGCTCCTATACTGAATAAAACTCCTTTGTTCTTGATATAGTTCTGATACTGCAATAGCATGTGAAGAAGACATAACGAGTCTTTGCCACCGGAAAGGCATACCATTACTTTGTCCCCATTTTTGATCATGTCGAACTCATTGATGGCTTCTATGGAAGGCTCCCAAATCGTCTTAGGTGGAAAAGTGTATCTAATAACAAAAGTTGAATATGAATTTTGAATTGTCTAAAAAACGTGTTTTTTTAGCATAGAACGATTACAGAGAATATTTATAGACATAAAATACAAAATAAAATAAATACAAAAACAAACTTCCCCCAACAAGGGAATATCAAGAATGTAAGGAAACTAAAACAAGACTGGAAGGAAATATATACGATGTAGAATATTCCCCAATATTATGTATGTTCGATTCAATGGATCGCGTTGTCCAATTTAATATTTTAACCTTTATGTATGGCAGCACTGTAATAAGAGTTTGCCTGTCATTTTTACGTCAACTGTCGGAAGACATATCTCCTCCATATTTTTTTTCTTGTTGTAAGCAATGTAGTATAACAATTTTAACAAGGCAATACACACGCTATTTTATGTCTATCGATATCTATTTTTTCCTCTGGCTCTGGAATTGTGGTTTTGCTTGGCTCGTCGTGGGCCAGACGTATTTGGCTGAAGAGTGTGCGACTCAAGTTATCCAAACCTCCTGTTAAGCTACCTTCAGTTTTATTTGAGTTTGGATGAACGTCGTGTTTCATCCTTACCACATAAAATCATCCTAGTACAAACTTCCTCGTTGGTAGAGCTGGGAATCCATATTCGTTGGATCAGAAATACGAGCACTTTTTCGAGCGCGTACTCTGATTTGGCGAATAGTAATTGCTGATTGTACAGGGTGTACCTTGTGATAACCAGAGGCGAGACGCCGCTGTCACCAGTGTAATAATCAGAGGCGGCTCCACTGTCACCACTGTAAAGTAATACAAATGGGAGTTATGTGAAGTTATGGAAAACGCTGTCACCAAATGTAATACACAATAGATCCTCAAGGGATGCTAACCCTGCGAGCGGCTGCAAGGAATACTGGTCACACTGGTCTGGAGGGCTGGCTCGTCTTCGTGGATTTACGAGAAGATAAGGGATTTTCGGGATAGGGGTAAGGACTCCTAGGTCTCAGGTCCTGTAAAGAGCAGAGGTTATGGGCTTACTTTTGAAGCCGGAGACATGCATAAGCAGAATCTCGTGTTCTCCTAGTCTCTAGTGAGTCGGACGAAAGGAACATTAGAGTCAACAATATATTGAATTTACCCTGAAGTTACAAATACAATCGTTAACACGTTATTCTGCGCGTCGGGAGACGATGAAGCAAGATAGTGAAGAGTTGACAGTTGTACTAATATAATTACTCAGGTTAGTATATAGAAATCTGTTACCTTATGTGTGTATTAGGGCTTTCAACCACGACACGTTCGGTCCTCTGGAACTCGGTCAGTTGAGGGTCTCCTCCTGAGTTACGGACTTACGAGCTGCCACAATAACCGGACTACACGCGATACTAGGCCGGGATGATAAGCGCTCCCCGGAGAATTACCGACTGCCTATCACTGATCGCGTACTGGACGCTATGGCGTCCAGTCACGGTGGCCCGCTATTACTGACTACCCATTACTAACTACTTCGTACCCGACGCTACCGCGTCGAGAGTACCCGGAGCAGGCAATTGGTGCCTGGACGCCCGCCGTATCACTACTCCGACTTCTATTACTGACTGCCTGGCTACCGTTGTTTTTTCTTGTTTTATTGTGCTCGTATTTTCAACGCCGGTTCTAGTACCAAGGTCGTGTTTTCGCTGAGTTGTAGTCTTAGGCGTTATTACTCGTATTTGGGTCACAGGTGTTGTTATTTTTTACAACAATAGTTTCTGTTTGACGTGCTTTTTCTACGTTTAAACAATATTCAACAATGCAATAACTAGGTCAATTTCTTTGTGTGATTTAAAATGCAAACTTTACTGTAATAATTATGCCTTATTTAATTTGGAATATATAATAATTATCTCGAATAATTATTATCTTTTCTATGTTACTTAGCCCTTTATTCCAACTTCTCACTCACTTGCTACGCTCACATTACAACCTGATTGGCAGTGTGGGCCATATTCAAGCTCTGGCCGGTCCCTGTGGGATCCTTGACTCCGCGCACCAGTGCAATTACTAGCCAGTCGGGTTTTCGAACTCTTTTAAGGCTGTATACTCTTCCAGATTGCTGGAAGCCTAGTTTTTAGAATAGCGTAGATCTAAAAATATGTAAGTGGTGAGTAAGTTGCTTTTTCCTACTCGTCTAGCTATTCTACAAACCATCGAACGAGATGGTCATCTGCATTTCTGTACAAATTTTTATAATTGAAGATAACCATAGACATATAATACAAGATAGACGAAGTTCGTTTCTTCAGTGCGACAGAGAAAACTGACACAAAGCAGTCCCTGCATCTATTCCTAATTTATCGGTTTTATCGACAACGTGACCCAAATGACCAATGAGAATGTCACGTGGTCGATAAACCCGTCCCATTAGAAAGAGATACAGGAATTGATTTGTGTCAGTTTTCTCTGTCGCACTGGGGGAACGAGCTAGAATTGCAACGATCAGTCTATATTGTATTATATTTCTATGAAGATAACATAGACCTTGGTTAGGCTGTGAGGTTAGGTTGTGTACTTACTGAACTATAATTGAAGGATCATAATCACTCGTATACAGGGTGTCCAGCAACTCTTCTGACAAACGAAGACTGGAGATTCCTTTAATAATTTAGACAATTTAGCCTAATTCACCTAGTCCGAAAATGTTTTCTAAATGAGCTAGAGCTCTTTGAAGATGGCGTCTAGTAATTATTTTTTTAATACCTACTGAACGCTTCTATTTAGAAAAACAAAAATTGGTACTACTATTATCTTTCGAAGTTGAATAAATTCCGAATTTCTAGTACCGGTTATAGACGTCCGTTTTGAGTAGGTAAACGGTTATTTTAATTTATAACTTTTTTGTCTTTAGCTTTTAAGCATTCATAATACTAGATTATTAAATTTTCAGGTATTCTAGTACTAAAAGATATTCTTACTTTAACTCTCCTCAAGGTCACAATTATTAAAAAAAGTATTGGAAAAGAAGCACAAAATCAAATTGAAACAATATTTGATTTAAAGGTTTTTAAACACAAAATATTTATTACGATGGAACGAAAGTAACACAAGAGAACAAGTACCACAGGTAGACAGTTACAAAAGATGCTCAATGTGACGACCATTAATCTCTGTGCATAATGTTGCCCTTTTACTTAGAGAATGCTGAATTTTTGCACACATTTATTTCTAAATTCGTTGCAAGCATCTTGTATCATTAGCCAGGGTTGCGCACAATTTTGTATCGAAACGGAATAAACAAATGCTTTTATGTATCCCCAAACACAAAAATTGCAAGGACTCAAATCCGGCTATCTTACTGGCCCGAAACTGGATCGGCTCTTAAATCCAGTTGTTTTCGTTGTATCAAGAAAGTCTCGTACATTTCTGCGAAAGTGGGTCGGACAGCTGTCATATAAAAACCGTCATATATAAGAGAGAGGCTTAAATTCCTGTAGAGATTGTCACTAACGTACGAAAAATTACGTGCATTATGCAGATTAAAAATTTCATTTTTTTAAATGTAGCTTTTTGCGCAACTTCCCTAAAAGTAACATCTTCATTTGCTGCTGTTACATCATTATGTCTCCCTGTTTTTATTAGTTTTGGGACCTCATTTCGCCATAACTAATTGCACATCAGTGTATTTCTCATTGGTAAAATCCATTTTTGTTAAATTGAAGGTAGAATAGGTTATACTTCTGTTGACAGCTCAAAGCCAACTAATGCAAAAAATATTTATTTATCTGTCATGACGAAAAAACAAAAAATTTTCAAATCGATTTTTATAAAAAAATGGTGTATCTTAAAGCAAGTGTACCTTTTAGTACTAGAATACCCGACAATTTAATCATTTAGTATCACAAATGCTTAAAAACTGATGACAAAAAAGTTATAATAAGTTAAAATCAAAGTTAAAATAACCGTTGACCTATTCAAAACGGACGCCTATAACCGGTACTAGAAATTCGGAATTGATGGAATTGATTCAACTTTGGAAGATAAATATTAGTACCAGTTTTCGTTCTTCTAAATAGAAGCAATCTGGAGGTATTTAAAAAAACTAAATACAAATCGCCATCTTCAAAGAGCTCTAACACCCGTAGAGACTTCAGACTAGGTAAATTGTGTAAATTGGCTTAAAATTACCTGAGGAATCTCCGGTCTTTTTTTGTCAGGAGAGTTTCTAGACACCCTGTATAATTAACGACTTTAACATGGATTTATTTTGTGTTTTCTATTGGCCTCTTAGGATAAATCTTCTGATAATTGATTATTATTGGGATTTGGAAATAAAAAAAATCCTGTGTTTTTAAAAAATACATAGAAAAGTAGAAAATATGTGTGTTTCGTCATATTAAATGGGACAATAAATCAATTTTTTATAATTAAAAATAAAAATTTAACCATACATCTCGGTGTATGCTTACGTTTTAAAGTTTTAGAGATATATGTTACCTTGTTGCCATAGATTCCAATAACTGTGGATCATCGCTCAAATCTCTAATTAACCTCGGTCGATGTTTCTGCAACGTCGAGAACTTAATCTCAGATTCAGACTTTCTGGGACCGTGTAAAGATTCTGAGTTACTTCTTGATTTTAGCTCGTTATTTTGATAATGTTCTTGTTCATGGAATGATAGATTGATACCGCTATCTTGGCTACTAACGCTGGCGACTGTTGAACAGTTGACTTTTGTTTTCTGGGTCTTTTCTTCTTCGGATTGTTCTTTGTCCAGAATTTTGTCTGAGCTGGCGGATTTGTTGATAATTTGTTGGAGAATGGATTCGGTACTTTTACCTGTACTGCTTCTAGAAAAAGAAAATGTGATAAAAACCAACAAACCTCAAGAAAATAGTTAATCTTACTTGAAGTAATTTCGTTACTTATACTAACCTTTCTTGTTCTGATTTTAACGGAGGGAAATATCTATCTTCACAGGACGCCCCCATACTTGAAGTTCGAGAATAGGTCAGTTTGTCAGGATTGTCAGGGGTAATAAATACATCTACTGCACTAACGACGTCGCGAATTTCAGACTTAACTTCATTTGCCATTTCAATAGAAACTTTTTCTAAGTACTCAGCCACCTATAAATAAAAATATACCAACATGAATACTAATATATTGTCATTTTAGTTTTGTACGATTAATTGCCATGATGATCTGTAAGTAATTTACACTGAGACCATTTCTTTTGCATAATAAGAACCACCGGCGACTACTGATACAGAGCTTGCAGAAAACCGGTGTCAATGTCAAACCAGGATGATGATCTAACAATTATACTGGAACCGAATATCAGAATTAAAGGTAGCCAATGGTCTCTATAAAAAACAAATCAAACTAAGAAAAGGTGTGAGAGAGGGCTGCATCCTCTTTCCACTGCTGTTTAACATATATGTAGAAGAGGTTTTTCAACTTGCCGAGGAGCCTATCAATGACATAAAGATACACTAGAGGTTGTAAATGCTGGTAAGAGAGCGGAAATCAGACTCATATAAATAATTGGGAAATTTAAATATATTGGAGCTACTTAGGAGGAATAAGAAAAGCTGAGCAACTCTTTAGAATAGCTCGAGACAGAGACAGTTTCGCCATGTTAATCGCCAACGTCAAGGGGACTTGATAGGGTACGTTAAGAAGAAGAAGGAGCTACTTAAAACAGCAAATGAAATTGTAACTAAAGTTAATTATTCGCTCTTTATAGAGCAATTCAATTTATTAATGATAACAATATTATTAAAGCGGTGATTTTTTCTGATTCTCTAAGTTCAACTACTTCAATTCAACCAGTGTATTATAAACAATCACTTCACTCAATAAGTATATTCTAAATACATAATTGAAAACGTAATCAAAACGGAACTTCACATATCTCCAGAAACTGGTAGAACCCATATGGAAAGATCTTGTCTCCGTAAATAAATACATAAGTGACAGGCCATCAAACCCTAGATATTAGCTATTGTCAAATCAACTGGCTTACAATTGTCGGACCGCACTATTAGAAGAATGTTATGTAAAAAATGGATTGTAAGAACCTCTAGAAAGAAGCCGTTCCTGAACAAAAACAGAGGCAAAAAGGCATTGATTGGGTTTTGACACACCTAAAGTTAGAAGAACAGTGAAGTTAGATAATTTGTAGTAATGGAACCAGAATTTCGATCTTTGGGAATGATTGAGTGAAGTTTTTTCACCACCGACCGTGGTTCACTGGGGCAAAAGGTAACAAAGATCTTTTACCCCTGTGTACTGCATTCACTATAAAATGAAGCACTCTGTAGTGTCATGGTATGGTCTTGTATGATCACTAACGGAGTTATACGTTTGACATTAATAGAGGGCAATATGGAAATAATAATCCCAATCTAAATCAAATAGAAAATCTATGGTCAAAACTTAAAGAGTAGTATCACGCCAAAACCCTAGAAGCCATTACTTCAAACTGATTTAAAGTTATTACACTATAAGATTTGGCACGTCTCGTAAACTTCATGAAACAAAAGTTATCCGACCAAATTCTTAGCTAACGGCTGTTGTTTCATTTATTTTTAAACTTTTAGGTTTGTCCTCTTTAAGCAGACGTTAACGAAAGCTGCTAACAAAACTAAAATTTTTATAAAATTTCCAGAATTTTGGCCACTAGTGTAAAACTAGGATCTTTACCTGTGGTTTGTATGATAATATTTCTTACAAAAACTCACCTCATTTGCAGAAATAGAGTCACTCCTCCCGTCCTCGCTCCCACTCCCGTGTCGTTCATAAAACGAACACACGCTATCAGTGTTCTCCAAAGCGTCTTCAACTTTGGAAATTACTTCTCTAATCTCAGACTTTATATTCGTTGCTAACTCCTTCGTCATTTCTGTGACGTAAGTTTGCAGATCAGGTACTGGAGAAGCGCGACCACATTGTAAGCAGTCGAAACTGTTCGACAGGAAATTAAGACTATGGGTAGGTGACATCTGATTTGATTCTGATTCCAAGGAATTCGGTTCTTGGCTGCTGTAGCTGAGTTGTCGCTGGCGGCTGTGCATGCCGAGACTGACTCGTGTTGAAGGGCTAAGAACTGGCGATGGGACAGTTGGAGCGCCGAGGCTTAAACATCTACAATTAAATAAATATCAACTAAAGTCATTCGTTAATTTTTTTCTATGTTCCAATTGCGTATTTTATATTATTTTCAGTTATATTTATTATACACTTCCTAATATCTTTACTACAATTGCAGGAAATGGATTTAATTAATCCAAATGGATGAATGGATGAAATTATGAAGACAAATGTAAATGCCAAACATACGCGTTAATGGCTACTATGATTTGGACAATGCAATTTTGGAAACATCAGTCAAAAATTAATTCTGACAATAACATAATTTATTGTTTTAAAACGAGTAATATTATCGAAAAAATACATAGTAATATTAATAAACAAGAATTTATTGGGATCTTACACTGAAATAGCAAATGCATCGTCATTAAACTTATTACCTACTAAAACAGGGAAACCATATGATAGTTATAAACTATAATTGTTTTAAAACTGTATTCGCTGTGAGCTTCGCCGGTAGCGCTATCTCGCGGTTTGAAACTTGTACTTTTCTTGTAAAATCGGTGCAAGTGAAATATGACAAAATGAGAAAAAGAGATATTTATCTAAAAATATAAAATTATGAACTAAAATATTATTGTAAACTGATTACTGAACGAATATACAGAATTAATAGTAAAAGTAATTACGCCTTTTTATTTTATTCATTATAATTTTAATATTTAAGATATAAGTTCCTGCGACTGGATGACTACTTACGTAAGAGGCCATGGAGAAAAAGAAAAAGTTTATGTGAAAATATTTAATGGTTAAAGGTTACCTTTACCCATCGAGCAATAAGACTGCTCGATGCCTTTACCTCTCGTAACCATGATACTATGACCACAGAATAATAAACAATCAGAAGGGCCACTCTCAGGTGCCGCCTTTGAAGTTTTTCAGCACGCGCGCCATGTTTTAGGAGGACACAGACATATGATTTGTGTGGTTATGTAATTGTTTATATTTATGTTTAATTATATTATATTTATGTTATTATATTTAACAATGTTAATATAATTGTATAGTATGTCAATGATTGCCGTAAGTCAAATAAACCTGGTTAATTTTTCCATGCACACCACATAAACAACACTAATTTCTTTAAAATCCTCCTAAAACATGGCGGAACGTCTGCGCGGAGGAGATGCGCGTACTTAATTTTCCGTGGAGAGTGGGTATTCTGTTTGTTTATTATTCTGTGCTATGACTAAGAAGATAAGATAACACATAAGTCGTGACGTCATTGGAGAGTTGCACGTTCGAAATGTCAGTTTTTTGTGTGTATCAATAAATAATCTTTAATAAATAGTTTGGAGATCCTTATGTGTACGATTATTGTAATTATTAAACCTCTTAACTTATCTTCGTATAGTAATTTCATCACAGAATGCATACAAATCCCATTTAACTTTAACAAGAATTCAAATTCTACTCTCCAATGACGGCATGCGTGAACACGACCGATTTTGTGCTACGGGAAGATCCTATCTTGTTAGTGATAGTATCATGCTTGTAACGTTGTAATTCTTGTTTTCATTTTGCATTTTCATTTTGTTTTTGCTGTTATTTTTTGTGTGCTTAGGCCTTAGTGATTAGATATCAATCTATTTTCATTTTATCAAAATGGATATTAAACACTATACTGGTTTTAAGTCTATATCACATGATATCCCATTTTAACCAGCTACACCAAAAATCTTATTGATAGCAATAATCCATTTTTCTCTTTGAACTACATATTTTATGCTTGGCAACAGGAAATGAATAAAATTTACAATCACTTATACCCAGTATTTTTACATGTTTCAATACAACAGCTGCTATATCTTTTTCTTTTCGAAAAATCCATATTCGCCATTATTTGAATGTTTACAAGTTAAATGCACAAAACTGCCACTAACAGCGTTGGTGAAAACTGTCAAATCCCCTCTACTCATCGGCTCACAGCGAATAGGTTAATGGTATATATTTGTACCACTTTCTGTTTGGCGTAATTTAATTCGCGTAGATTGTAAAAATAAGCAAAATTCCTTTCGGAATAGCAAGATCGGTCACTCCAAATGAAGGGGTCAGAAGCAAAACCGCCTAAGTAGCAAAATACACATTTTGAGAAATAAAGCATCAAAGTTTTTGTTCTTTTAAAAATTCTGGATGTTCAAAATTAAAAATTTTAAAGTATTAAACAATTCAAAATAAGTATTAAATTTTGAAGATACTTCTGGTGAGAAATTATTTTAGTTTTTTTTACCTCATTCGACAAAAAAATGCACTTAGGTTGTTTTACCTTTAAGCAAAAATGGATTTATAATACACAAAAAGAACTAAACAAAAGCTTAATTTTCAATTAATATTTATTTTTTCTTAAAAAAAATACAAATTTTACTTTTTTATAACACCAGAGTTACTCATAATCTGAGAAAAAACCTATGTAGTCGTCTTGTTCGACTTTGGCATCTTCTTTGGAAGACTTAATAGTAGTGCTTCCTTTTTTCATTGTGTTTTTTTGCTGCTTTGACTCCTACGGCCAATCATTATAAAATTGATGGTAAATGGGGGTATGAACTCTAGCAGCTGTTATAAATTTTGCCATTTTTGATACTTAAATTGTCTCGTACTTCTTTTTTCGTCTTCAGTTGGTTCAGGATGGTGAAATTTTAAATTGAATTTAGTATTGAAAATATAATCCCCAATCCCTTCCTGGGGGTTTATCGTTATCAGTGCAATTATTATCTTTGTAAAGACCATACATTTGCGAATGTTTAAATCGGACGAAAGGTGTTTCGTATTTGGATTTTGATTATAAGAGTAATGACTCCTATTACGTAGTAATGATCTGATATATTCAATTACTATTTTTCTGGCGTTCTCTGATACTTTGTTGGTTGGGACATATTTTCTTCTTTTATCAGGCTCCACAAAATTATTTTTGTTAACTTTTTTACACATAACCTTAAAGCGACTGTCTCTGATATCAAAAGTTTTTAGGAAAAAGTCTGCATACACGGCGGTCAAGAAGTTTAATTTCTGTACTGTAATTTTTTTGCTATTAGCCAGTTTTTTTTAGGTTCAGTTTTTCTGATATATGAAGCTAAAAAAGCTGTCTGCAGGTTGGTAAACTGTCCAACTTAGAGAAGAGTCGTTTACTTTCAACGTCGTTAAATATTCCACATTGGTACCTACACGTATGCATATACTCCTGGACACATTTCTTTCTCTTCAATTTTTCTCTGCTTTCATATTCTTGGCCAGCAAGCCCCTTATTTGTGATTTTATTCCTCTTCCATGCATGTACGTTACGCTTCCTTTTTCGGTAAATTTTAGGAATTACTGAAAAGGAAAAATATGTTAAACCCTTAAAGTTGAACTTAACTTCGAAATTTCTCAAAGTACATAACTGTAAGGTAGGTATCTACTAAATTTACCGGTATTTACAAGTTTAATATTTACATAATAAATTAATTTTTGTTAGGGATATTACGCTTAAATTAAAACTAACAAGCTAAAACACAAACTTTTACTACTCAAATATTATACTCCACATGTGTGCTTATAGTTGCTTCCTCGGCAGATATTATAGAATTATCGCTGTCGTTATCTCCTTCATATTCACTCGGAATAAAATCAGATTCTTCATCTGTAGCGTATGGATCACTATCTGACTCAAAAAATAATATCAAAACTCAAAAAACATGATCCAAATATTATAATGACAAAATATATCATTTCTGCAAACAATAGTATCACTTGAAACACTGCTGTTAATCTACTAAAGAAGTGTAACCTACACGACATAAACAAATCCAAACCGTTGAGTGGAACCCAAACAACATAAGTAATAAAAATGTATTTATATCCAGTCGCTTGTTTGGAGGTAAAACAGCCTAGGTGCGCTAAGGCGATTTCTGCTCTTAACGATTGGTGAATTTCATTTTGGTTGTTTTTTCTATTCATCAAAAGATGGCGATAAAGTAGGGTTAGAGCGTAGTCGATTTTACTACCAAACAATATAAGATATTCAGAACGTGAAACATCACTAAAGTCGTTTTGGTGAAAATTTTACTTAGGCGGTTTTACTTCTAACCCCTTCAAATGATATTGTAGCTCTCACGACTATTACGAATGTCATTTTTTACGACAAGACTAAAATGACGTCATAAAGTGGTACAAATCGATACCAGTGACCTTTTATTACAATGGTAACTTTTAAGTGCTTTTCATTTCATTATAAAATTATAAGATGCCCTACTTATTTTTGGTTTTTTGCATCAGGTTCTGAAATATTTAATATTTCAGAACCTGAAATGAACCTGAACAATTTAATAAGGTTGGATTTTAAATTTTTTACTAGTGTAAATTAACGTTAAAGGTTTTTATCTCAAGAACTATTACCACGCATGCGAATTTATAATTTTGAAATAAAATAAAAATTGGCCAAGATTCTTCTTCTTAATAAAAAAAGTGGGAATATATATATATATATATATATATATATATATATATATATACATATATATATATATATATATATATATATATATATATATATATATATATATATATATATATATATATACTACTCTTCAAAATTAACGCACCACCTAAAATCAATTATGATTTTGAAACTATATTTCTTCTGAACCCTTACCTGGATTTCGATTATTTTTTCTTTCACATTGTAGGTATATTTCCAATTAATTATTATATTAATGTTTTTTGAGCCATGTTAACGTTTTAGCTATATACGGGGTGTAAAAATAAACTTGTGTTTTTTCAAAAAATTTTGCAGCACCCTGTGGAACGTATTAGAAACAAACATTACACCTTACTAATATTTCGAGATAGCTTTATCATTTTTCAACATTTCCGTAAAAAAATTATCTCGATATCTCTATTATCAAAGTATTACGTGATTTCAAGAAATCTGAGCCGAGATGAACGTATTCAGGCAATTAGTTTAGCTGATGTAGGGTTAAGTTATCGTGAAAAAGACTTGAGGTTAGGAGTATCTCATAAGTCATAATACAATATCACGAGTCATTCAACGTTTTCGAGAAAAAAATGACCATACGAGACGGCGCGGTGTGAACAAGGAAGAGGAAGAGTCACAACACCACGCCAAGATTTATCAGGCTTCGTGCTACAAGAGAACGTTTTGTCACAATGAGATATATACGCTTCTTTCACACAATAAGAATTTGAACGTGCGATGGTTTGAACGCACGATGACATTCCAATAGTGACTCAAGCAATCGCATGGTATTCATATTACACGGCGGTTGAGACGTTCGGTGAAGTCGCCGTGTGCAGGCCGTCCACTGCCACTACAAACAGACGATGCCGTGCTGTGCTTACGAACCTAGTAGTATACGTGACTTAATGCATCCTTTTACATGATACGGTCATTCTGTCGCACGAAGGTACCTTGCTGGGTTATTTGGTATATTTTTTATTTACACTTTGCGGCTGTTTAAAGTAGGTGATGAATATGCTGTCTGAAATTGATAGTGAAATATTAATAACATTGGTTGCGAGACCTGTTCTTTGGGACAAAACAATAGAAATATATAAAGATAGAAACTTGACGAGAAATGCTTGGAATGATATGTGTAGTGCACTTTACAGTGAATTTAAGGAACTAGGTGATAATGAAAAGTCGTATCTTTTTGCGTTAATAGGATGGATCCAATGAATTCGGTCCCTCTTATTTATTTTTTTTTTCGACGATAGAGTAACCACAACGCTAAAATTTGATTTCGCTCCATATCTACACTACACCTTTTATTTTACAAAATTATATTTAGTGTTATAAGGTAAACGACTCGGTTAAAACTGAAGTACGGCAGCAGAACGCCTTGTGTGAATACACAATCAATTCTGAACGTGTGTCAAAACTACCGAACGTCAAAACGACCGAACGTTCAAATTCTTAGTGTGTGAAAGGAGCGTTAGAAATAAAAGTGGCAGATGTTTATAATATTCAAATTACTAGAAACACTATACAAAGGCATCTTACTAAACAAGATCTGCATGTAAGGATATCAGTCAGAGCATCAGCTTTAAACGTATATTATTGCAGAAGTAGATTAAAACTTGCCAGAGAGCACCTTGACTAGATTGTTGATGACTGGGAACACGTGTTGTTCACTGATAACTCGAGGTATTGCTTATATAGCTCAGATAGACGTGTAAGAGTTATTCGACGACAGAAAGCTACGCACAGTACAACATACGACCTATTACTTTGTTCAATGGAGGATCTGTAATGGTTTGGGGAGTAATATCTGTTACAGCACGAACGGAATTTGTTGCTTTACGAAGGGGTTCCTTAACAAGTTAAAGTTATATTACAGACATTTTGTCTAACCATATAAATTCCATTTGCTATTTACATAGGAAATCATTTTCTTTTAATGCATGATAACGCTCGACTACATATTGTAACATGACCACAGAGAGAATTTATGTGATATTATTGATCGCCAACTCAGGAGCCGACAACCACCACCTGTCTCTCTTGATGATATAGAAATTATGGTACAAAAAGTTTGGGATGCAATTGATCAAGACCAAATACGCTGCTTGATTTTAAGTATGCTTCTTCGCTGTGAAGAAGTAGTAGATGTAGAGGTGGAAATACTCGTTATTAGGTGTTTTTGGGAGAGTAAATTATTAAAGATTATTTAGGTTGTTTTCTTAGGCTTTAGTTGTATTAATTGTCAATAAAGTTAATGTAAGTAGTGTTTTTTACGTTAAATGTTAATAAAAACTTGTTACATCTAAAGTTCTGTATAATCTATGATAATAGAGATATCGAAATCTTTTTACGAAAATCTTGAGAAAGATTAAAACTATCCCAAAATATTAATAAGATTTTCTAAGTAGCGTTTCTTTCTAATAAATTCCACAGGGTGTTGCAAAATACGATGAAAAACACATCTTTATTTTTATACCTGGTATATAGCTAAAATGTTGAAATTTCTCACAAAATATTTATATAGTAATTTATTACAAACAGACCTATAATATGATGTCCAATTAGTCATGTAATATTTAGTGGTATGTATATGTACCACTATTACTTTTTTAACTTTCAAGTGTAACCTTAGTAGGGTTATGCTTCAAATAAAACGTATTTAATATTTTAAAGTTGCAATTCTGTGAACATTTTTATTCTTTGCAGATGAAACGCAGACGTCATTACAATTTAGAAAATCCGGATGTCGTTACTTATCTATCAAGTATAGTCCACGATGAGATGGTTATATATTCGGATGCTGAAGACGATTTATCTGTCAAGCAATGGCGACTCTGATATATCAGGAATGACTCATTTGCATGATGACCGAACGAAGGGAAACATGAAAATTATTCAGAATTAACGGAAAGTGAAGAGGAACCTGCTCTAACAGAATTTACTGTTTTTAACAGGATATTTTTGGTTGTGCTATAATTCGGCAGACGAAAAAGTTTTTCCAAAAAACATATTGGAAACCAACAAGGATTTAAAAAAAGGTAGTCAGATGAAGTAATAGATGGAGATGTAGCAGTGTCGAAGTGAAAACATAAAGGAATCAAATCTGTCTGCCTTGTAAGTACTATGCATGATACACTAATACGTAAAAGGTTCTAAGAAAACCACCCCACAAAAACCAATCTCAAAAATGGTATAAATATATACCACCAAAGTTCTATAAGCTTTTTTTATGGGAATGCTCAGCGATAAGTATATGTACCTCCACAAAACTAAAAAACTATCACCAAAACAATGCTGTGATTACTAATTTTTGGTAAACTTTATTCCCCACAATTCAGTTATTGAAAAAGCATACCATTTGAAAGTACCTTGTATTTTGCCCGTTCGAGGATTTTAGAGATTGTTGCTTCGATAAAAAGCTCTTAAATCTTATGGTTCATGTATATTTTTGAGCGTTAAAGATTGAAAATCTCATTCAGGAAAGTACTATACATCCAAACCATTGAAGGTGTCTACAAATTTTACCTATACATAAGTAGAAATTTGGGTAGTCATAGAACCCGACTTTATATCCATAGAATTATGTCAAAGATTGTGAATTTTAGTTACAAATCAAAATGAAGGGACATTTTGTTTTTATCTATTAATGTTTATGTTTTAAATATATCTAGAATGAATATTTTTACCTTTCCCTTGCAAAGTTCTGTTGCAGATGGTTCAAATTTGCAGAATTTACAGCTTCCCCTACAGCAAAATTTACACTAGGTTGGGATATTTGAGGATAATAGAGACCGTTCACGTCTTGTAGAAAATATGGCACTGGTGACGAACAAGTTAGGATTTTAGGATCATCTATGGAAGGAAGACTGTAATGTCTAGGTGAACCGTTGGGTGGCATGTGTAAAGTTGGGCTGCTGTAGTCCCTGAAAATTAGACATTTATATTATAGAGCCAAATAACCTGAACAACCTCGCCCTAATACGAGTAATTTCTCGTGTCAAGTCGATGTAAAAAATCGACTTGATCAACTTACTTTTCTCTATCTCTCTCCTTTTCTTTTTCATGCTTTCTTGATAATAAGTTATTAAGTGGATCGAAAGGAACTTTTTGTTTGACATTTTGGGCATTACTAGTCAACATACTCTGTGCTTCGTGCTGAAGCATAAACCATCTAAGCTTCTCTCCTCGACTATCAAATGCGATACCTTGATCCTGGTATGGACTCCTGTTGGCCGTTTTCCTGGCTCTATTGAATAAATTTCTAGCTGTTTGCAGACATTCGGAATAGTTTTGGGGAAATAGACCTGGCCCAGAGACTCTTCGTTCGTTCATGGTCATCTTACCATCCAAATATCTAAAAATAAATGTTATTTAAAAATTTCGAAATTATACAAAGAAAAAATATATATGCACAAATATATATAAAAAACGACCAAAATGACATATAGATATAAAGCATACCATTAAAAATGTATTTTAAGGATAAAAATAAAATCTTCACTTAAGTCTCTTTGAGTTCCTTGGCAAGATTTGGATTGATATTTATAATTATGCTTTTGCTACATACTGTTTTTTTCTGTTTTAAAATTGCGAAATAGTGACAGTCTGAAGAGACTGTAGAAAACGAATAACCTGTTCGAGTTTGTAAATGCAAGTCTAGGTCATAAAGGCCATAAAACCTTTTGCATTTGATAAAATATAGATCTTACGACTCGTTATCAGTCTTGTTGCTTTTTTCTGCTGCTATCTACTGCTTCTTCGGTATTTGTCAATATCACTGTGTCATCTGCGTTTCGTAAATTATTTATATATTTACCCTTTTTCATTGCATTCATTATGTTCACGATAGCCGTCTTGAAAATATTTTCTGGTGTCATTTTTCTACGAATTTAGTTTTCTAGGATATTATAGTATTCTGTATTTTATGATTTTAACGATATTTACGCTAACATGTTATGTAAAATCATGTACAGTGCTATCTACATGATCAATGTATTATATAGACATTCTTATCAAAACACAATCCCTCTTAGACAAATTCATTTTAAAATTAATATTGTTATGTAGAATAATTACGACAACTTCAAGTTAACTACAAAGTTAACCTCATTCACACAGTTAAGGAATGGTTTTCTTTAAGTTTCCGCAAAAATAAAAGAAATGACAAAAATATTTTATTAAATTTATTTAGACTATGCCTGGAAAAATTCTTATCTTACAAACACAAGAACTCGTTTTAAATTTAACAGAGTACTTTGAATTGGAAAAAAGGAGTGGGGGACCGTTGGATCAGTTGTCATCTGTTCAAGAGATACAAAACGTACAATTATTTTCAAAGTTCAGAGTCATGTCTTGAAATTGTTTTTAAAAGTAATTCACAATAGAATACATAAGAAATTAGATAAAGGCATAAGTAATACACAAATGGGATTTAGGAAATTACTGGGAACCCGAGATGCACTGTTTGCAGAAGTCTTCTTTCGCAGAGATGCTTAGATATAAATCAGGAAGTATATGCCTGTTTCATAAGCTTTTTAGAAGACATTTGACAGAGGGCAGCATAATCGGCTTAAAGAAATTTTATTAAATAAAAACATAGACAGTAGAGCCATAAGAATCATAAGTAACCTCTATTCGAACCGAACAGCAAAAGTGAAAGTTGAAAATGAACTTACCGAGGATATCCAGATTCGCCGTGGGGTCCGCCAAGGGTGTATTTTATCACCCTTGTTATTGATTTTATATAGTGAAGCCATCTCAGAATTAGCGTTTGCTGAGGTCAGTGAGGGCCTTATAATAAACGGTGAGCCACAACATAAGATATGCTGAGGTCACCGTCCTTCTGGCAGGAACACTAGAAGAACTGCAACCCCTTGCTGAACAACTAAATATATATTGCAACGATTATGGACTAAAAATAAATTTGAAGAACACCAAGTTGGTGACCATGGTATTTACAAAAGCACAAAATATCAAAGTTAAGCTAGTACTAAAAATAATACAGAAATTGAACAAATATCTTCGTACAAATACCTTGGAGCATGGATCACGGAAGATACTGATCAGACAAAAGAAATAAGATGCCGCATTGAAATTGCACGGTCAACTTTTAATAGAATGAGAAAACTTTTTTGTATTTTTTGTATGGGGTTGAAGCTTGGACACTAAAAAAATCCAACATTAAAAACCTAGGAGCATTCGAAATGTGGTGTTACCGACGTATTTTGAAAATATCATGGATGGATCGCAAACCAAACGAACAAATTCTCGAACAACTAGGAAAACAATGCGAAGTTTTAAAGTCCATAAAAATCAAGAAATTGGAATACTTGGGGCACATCATGAGAGGTGAAAAATAAGAATTACTAAGGAATATAATGCAGGGTAAAATCAAAGGCAGAAGAAGCGTAGGAAGTCGTAAAATCTCGTAGCTATGCAATCTCCGTGAATGGTGTGGATGCAGTTCAATTGAACTATTCAGGCGCGTAACCAACAAAATTATAATTGCCAGAATGCCAGAATTGTTATAATTGGTCAAGATGAATTGACAAAAAAGTATTATATATATATATATATATATATATATATATATATATATATATATATATATATATATATATATATATATATATATATATATATATATATATATATATATATATATAAGGTGGTCCAGAATTATGTACATTAATTTCTAGAGCTCATAGTACGTCCAAAAATAAGGGTACTTCTTTATGTACACTTTTTTATAAAACTGAAAAATAAGGGAGGTACAACCCTTGAAAGGGGTGAATTTAAATGCTTATTTTTTCAAATATCTTCCAAACGGTTTTGAATACGGAGTTCATATTTTGGGAGTGATTATAAGACATTAGGATAATTAATTTCATGTCACCACCTACCCCATCCTATATTAATACAGGGTAGTTTTGGAGGGTAAGTGGGGGTTATTGCTGACATGTTTTTTTAATTTTTACATATTTTAAAAAAATATTTTAAAAATTGTTTCCTTAGACTTTTCTACGCAAAAAAGGTGCTCTTGTAATACGTCGATGGATATCACCGTTTTTGATTTATTTAAACTCGAAGGTATACATGTATTTTATTGTAATCGTTACATTTCTTAATATTCATCAAGTATGCTTTGGAATGGACACTTGTGTTAGCAACAACACTTTAATCTCAAGTAGTCTATAAATTATCAGTGACGTTTAATAACAATTAAATTATTTTATGTACACTTTTATTGTACTCGACAGTGAAATTTGTTTAACACGTCTCTTTTGCTATATTTTTAAATTTGTTTGCCCGTAATATGGTACACTATGCAAATTCTGAGATAACAGACATACGTTTAGTATTAGGGGAATGTTCGGGAAATGCTGCTGCCGCTGTAAGACGCTACAGAGAAAAGTATTCGAACAGAAATATTCCCAATGCCAGGACTTTTGTAAGTACTGAACGACGACTGAGAGAAACCGGTTGTCTTCAAAGAAGGAATACAGATGCTGGTCATCGTAGAAAAGCAAGAAATGTTCGCGTTAAACAGCAAATATTGGATGCAAATAATAAATGACCCCACAATAAGTACACGCAGGTTAGGATTAAGAACGAATATTTCCCATCAAAGTGTTTTAAGAGTTCTGCATGAAGAGCAATTACATCCTTACCATTATCGATAGGTGCAGGAATTGTTACCTGACGATATGCCACTTAGAGTTGATTTTTGTGCAAAATAAAGTTCAAACTGCACCAAATTTTTTAAGCAACATTCTGTTTACAGACGAGGCCACATTTACAAGACAAGGTATGTTTAATTCTAGAAATATGCATTTCTGGGCTGAAGAAAATCGAAGGGATACAATGGAAACTCACTTCCAACACACGTTCAAGATAAACGTTTGGGCAGCTACTTTAGGAAATAGTTTCATAGGATACCACATCTTTCCCGGAAATTTAAATGGTAACATGGATTACAATTTTCTAGACAATATTTTACATGGTATTTTAGAAGATATTCCATTACAAATACGAAGAAATATGTTTTTCATGCGTGATGGTGCTACACCACATTACACAAGAATTTGTAGAAGGTGGTTACATGAACATTTCCCTGATAGGTGAATAGGCCGGGGTGCGGATGCACCGATTCATTGGCCTGCTCGTAGTTGTGATCTTAATTCAATGGACTTTACAGTATGGAGTTATTTAAAATCAAAAGTGTATAACACTCCAATTAATACAGTAAATGAGTTAAGAGACAAAATTGAACAAGTACTTACCGATTTACAAAACGATCCAGTAACAATAAATGGATTAATGCGTTCGTTAAATAAAAGAATTAGATTATGTATTCAACAAAATGGAGGACATTTTGAACAGTTGTGAAATATTATTTTCGCTATTAATTAAATGTTAAGTATTATTTAAGTTTTCCATTAATTTTTAATATTATTGCTAACACTTCCAGTGTCAATTCCAAAGCATACTTGATGAATATTAAGAAATGTAATTATAATAAAATACATGTATACCTTCGAGTTTAAATAAATCGAAAACGGTGATATCTATCGAAATGTTACAGGAGCATGTTTTTTGCGTAAAAAAGTCTAAGGAAACAATTTTTAAAATATTTTTTTAAAATACGTAAAAATTAAAAAACATGTGACGCAATAACTCCCACTTACCCTCCAAAACTACCCTGTATTAAAATAGGATGTGGTAGGTGGTGACATGAAATTAATTATCCTAATGTCTTATAATCACTCCCAAAATATGAACTCCGTATTCAAAACCATTTGGAAGATATTTGAAAAAATAAGAATTTCAATTCACCCCTTTAAAGGGTTGTATCTCCTTTATTATTCAGTTTTATAAAAAAGTGTACATAAAGAAGTACCCTTATTTTTGGACGTACTATGAGCTCTAGAAATTAATGTACATAATTCTGGACCACCTTGTATATATATATATATATATATATATATATATATATATATATATATATATATATATATATATATATATATATATATATATATATATTGTAGATGAATTGATACGTAAACATGGACACGAACTGCTTAGTTTGCCACGGTATCACCCAAATTTTAATGCTATTGAATTAGTATCGGCAGATTGCAAGACTTACTATAATATGTACATATATTAGCAGAGATGAATATAGAGATAAACATGTTTTAAGTGGATGGAAGAAATTCAAAAACGATATCGCCGAGGCAAAATGTGTATAACATATTAACAAATTATTTGAACAGTGGTTTATTAGAGAAGAAAATATGTGTAATAATATCGAACCTGTAATAAGTAACATTGGAGATAACACTTCAGATTCTAAAGATGATTAAATTAAATATGAGAAACGAAAAACACATTATTATTTGAGCTGAATAATGTTTCATTCTTTAAATAATTTTACTGTTACCAATTACATCAACACACTGTAAATATTATTGTATATTTAATTATATTTGTTTATAAATTGTTTATTTATTAATTAACCACTAATGATATTAAAATAATTTATTAAGCTACTTCAAATGTAGCTGTAATTCTGCACCAAAATTTTACAAGCAAAACGAACATTTTACATTTTATTTATTTGATGATATCAAATTTTATAATATAATCCGTGATGGGAGCAGCAGCCACTTTTTGTCACGGGTAAAAAACCATGAACTCAACTTGTTGATGTAAAGTTACCCATTTTTCTTTTGCGCAACCTGGTTAAAATTGTGATTTAAAAATACAGAAAAATAGATGAGAGGCATTGGTGGTAATAGCAATTTAGTCGTCTTAAAATTAAATCGCTTCAAAATAACGACGCGCTTTTTTAATTTTCAATTTAAACTCGCTAATTTCAATTATCTCAGCCAGCTGGATTAAGTTTGATCATTTTTGTTAAACTGGGTTTAAACCGTGATTTAAAACTTTCAACTATAATACTTTTAAAAGCGTATAATTATTTATTTTCCTATAAATGTTTTTACTGTAAATGGTTTTACTATAAATAAATATTCACTTGCAAAATTACATAATTTTTCCTTTTTTTCGTTCATTATTATTTCTTATATGACTGACGCGTATTTTTTTGTCAATTAATTTAACTACACTCTCTTTAATTATAAATATTAATTTTAAATAAATATTAATTTTATAAAAACATAGAAAAAATCATTTAAATAAATCCCGAATCGATTACTTATTAAGTAGTTTCGCATAAACTATTTAAATGCAAAAAAAATAAATATTCATATAGTTTTATTTATGTTAAATGCCAAAAAATAAGAAAAATTGTGCAGGTGTTTAAAAAATTGAATCAATGAGTCGAATTGAATGTGAAAGTTGAGTGCACTTTTATATGTATAAAAACTTTTCAAGTATTTAAAACGTTTTTTGTTGGCTCTGCATGATTTTGAAAATTGATAACTTTTTTCTAAAAATTTAGAATGCAAAATTATTTTGCAATAACTACGAGTCCCTTCCCACCCATATCAGTTGGCCCACCTACGGAATTTGTAGTTTAAGTCGATTACCATAAATAAATTATACTCTGCATGTTTGTATAAATTCACATATTAATTAATATGGCATTTTTATCAATATGTATTAAAAACATTACCCTTATGGTTTTTTATAAATTTTCAACAATAAAAAATCACCAAACCCTGGCTATGCAATAACTTAGGTCAACATACTTACGTTGATGTTTTCATAATTACGTTAAATCCAGAGGTAGGTATGAAAAAATGACATCAAAACAATAATATTGATTGATATAAGGTTGAATGCTCGAATAAATGAACTTTGCAAAATTAAAGGCAGACATCGAGCACAATTTTATTAATCAAATGTTGCCTAAGTACTTTCGCTTTCCACAGCATCATCAGGGGCATTTCGTCAAATTTGAGCTGTTCAGCAAGCGCAAAATGTAATAAACATGAAATTAAACATAAATTATAATATATTTTCTATTTTCTATAATAATGAAATTCAAAAATGTTGTTCCATGCATTAAAACTAAAATTTACGCTGCACTTTTTTGTGTTCTTTAAAATTTAATGTTCTTATCAATCAAAACGTTAGGCCAACTGATATAGGAAGGGGCTCGTATCAAAATTTTGGTTAGTGTCTTTTATATATTAGAAGTAAATTTTGAAGGTTCTACGTGTCTTTTAAATACCTGAACAAGAATATTGGAAAATATTGATTTTTCCACCAATTTCTTAATGGTTTTTGCTAATTTAGCAATAATTATTATTTTTCAATTTGCCATCAATGCTTTTATGTAGAAAATTTTATTTTTTCATAAATTGTTTAATAAAAAAATTTGACCATCTTTTGAAGTGTCCACATAGTAAAATTATCAGTTCTAATAATATTTCCAAACGATTAAAACAAAAAACAGGATCATAAACGATTTACCCAAATAGGAGTGTTTTAGAATAGAAATGCCGCCTGGGCTAATCTGCCAAAGTGATTTATACTTATAAAATAATAATACTTTCCAAGTGTTCACAATACGATTCTTACAAGTAAAAAAGATGCTAAACTGCCACTGAAAATGTTTATATTGCTCATACCTAATTGAAGACAGCCACTTTCTATCTTTGGATATAGCATTAGAATGATGCCTCCATTCGGCAGTTTCTAAGTCGACTACATATTGAGGAAGAAGTTTCCAACCCTCTGTGGCCACCATTTTGACTGCTTCCATAATGAAAGCCAATTCTGCATCATTTATAAAATATGGAAGACTTATTCTGGTAAAACCTGGTCTCAGAAGCTCCAGGGTGGAATTTTCAACTCCAAGATTTAGACTACTCAATCGCCTGAAAAAAAAACGGGATCTTTAACATAATTGAATGCAATATAGTTTAACAATATTGATTTTAATTTCTTTTTATTTGTCGACGGCAATATTTTTTACCACTTCTGAGGTATATTATTAACGTTGACGATTGAAAATAGGACGCAGTAAAATCATGCCTTAACCAATTTATCTGTCACAATTTGCTGACATTTTTAGATAAGTGCCACTGAACTTGACGAAAATAGAATATCTCCATTAATTTAGATAACGTTGGTTTTGAGGAAATTATAAATGTATTTAGTCATTTAATGTCACTGTCATGAACTTAAATAGCACCTGGTATTACTACAGAAAATTATATATTTTCTTAATAATTAATTATTTTTTAAAGATTTCTTTTAAAGATTCAGTACATTTACGATTTTCTCGTTCCAATACTTAGAACCTATTTGAGCGTTCAATTATTTTTTCCAGTTCTATGACCCTATTATTTTAAGTATTCGGGTTAATTTTACCTGTTTTATTTTAGATGTAAACGTAGATTTATTTTGAACTATATAAAATCTCTCGCTTTTAACAGTATTAGTAAGATATCAGAGAAGTAATCAGAGAATAATGTGAAGAAGATCAGGATGAAACATAATTTGGCTTCAGAAATGGACTGGGAAGTCGGGACGCCCTCTTTGCACTAAATGTATTACTGCAGAAATGTCGAGATCAAAGGAAAGACGTCTTTGCTGTATTTATTGACTATGAAAAGGCCTTTGATCGAGTACAGCATCACAAATTAATTACAATATTAAAAGATAAAGGAGTTGATAGTCAAGACATACGATTCATAGAAAAGTTATACTGGCGTCAAACAGCGACAGCTTGCGTAAACGGAAAATCAACAGAAATATGTAAAATACAAAGAGGTGTCAGACAGGGTTGTATACTATCCCCACTGTTATTTAATTTATATTCAGATAGAATATTTAAAGAAGCGCTGCATAATGTGGAATGGGGCGTGAAAGTTAATGGAATTCTGATAAATACAATCAGATATGCAGACGATACAGTTATTTTAAGTGATGACATGAATGGATTACAATGCCTTTTAAATACCATTGATACAGTGGGAAGACAGTTTGGCCTAAACATAAACTGTTCAAAAACAAAACACATGGTGTTTAGCCGTTTAGCACATCAAGATGCACGATTATATGTTGATGGTCATATAATTCAAAGAGTGTCCAGTTTTAAATATCTTGGTTACCATATTACTGCACAACTAGATCCAGATCAAGAGATAAAATGTAGAATCGAGATAGCCCGCACGACATTTTTAAAAATGAGGTCATTTTTCTGTAATGATAACTTGCAACTTCAACTTCAAAAGCGCATGGTTAAATGCTACATTTGGTCAGTCCTCTTATACGGTGTCGAAGCATGGACATTAATTAAAAATATCCACCATTAATCGTCTGGAGGCCTTTGAAATGTGGCTGCACAGACGTATACTAAAAATTCCATGGACGGATATGCTGACAAATGTGGCAGTCCTTGAGAGGGCAAATGCTGCTCGCGAGCTGCTTGATAACATCAAATGTAGAAAGATGGCCTATTTTGGGCACGTAGTAAGGGGAGACCGACATAATATTCTTCAACTTATTATGATGGGTAAAATCGAAGGACGCAGAGGAATTGGTAGAAAGCAGGCCTCTTGGTTGAAGAATATCAGAGAGTGGACAGGAATAAAGAAAGCTGAGCAACTCTTTAGAATAGCTCGAGACAGAGACAGTTTCGCCATGTTAATCGCCAACATCAAGGGGACTTGATAGGGCACGTTAAGAAGAAGAAGTAATCCCTTAAATGCAATGGTTTGCCAATGTAGAAAAAATTGTGAAACTACATTAAAACTCAGGGTACATAAATAAAACCCAATAAATGGAACTCAATCTATTTGTAGTACATTAGTCCCTGTACTTTATAATTTAGTAACACTTGTCACGACATGTCTACCTTTGTACTGATCCAATTGATTTCATGAACTAGTCCTTGCCATGTTTTACTGTGGCTACTTTTATTATTTATTGAACTATACTATTTATTTATGTATTTATTTAATGAACCATTGAACTGTAAAATAAAGTTTACTGAAAAATAAAATTCATGCTGCGTTTTTTAGTTAAAGACAAGGGTTTTTAAACTGCAACAAGGGTTTTTGGAGCATGTTATAGCGGATGAAAGAATATTTCAGAACTACCGAATAAGCTGTAGGATGCTTTCAGAAGAAAATATTGAAGACAATATGTTGGCGCTTCTTCCAAGATACATTTGCGGACGATAGTGAAATCAACGACGAAGGGCTAGGAGCTACAACTGTGCAAGACGTTTCAGAAGAAGTAGAATTAAAAAAGACCCAGATAATAAAGACCCAGAATTGCTCACCATAATTTTATTTTTTATTGGAATTTTTAATAGAAGAATTTATTTCAACAGGTATGCTAAAGTTTATGTCAAAGAAATCTTATGATTAAGAACATTTAATTCTAACTATGGTAGAAGTAATCACAGCTCGATGTCGAGGTTCTGCATTCATGAAACTGCTTGAGGAGTAACTATAACGAAGTTTTGAGATATATCTGGTATATTGAGCACTCAGTTTGTTGCACCATATGTAATGCATGATCTGTCGTTCCGCTCCAATCTGTCGCATGCCTCATAAGTAAACTGGCACATCTCTCATGAGAACAATGGAAGTAGAGTACTTTTCAGGCATTCATTGACTATGGGCATCGTTGGATTGACGACCCTGTCTACTTTATGGACATGAGAACTGTTGAGTACTGTGTTGCGAAAAGGTCAAAGTTAGAAGCGTAGTGGAATCTACTCGATCCAACAAGTTTCTGCAGAATATTCTACAATGTGATGCCAGTAATATTTTGGTGTATGACTAAATGGAAGAACGATGTTCTTAAAAGTAACTTCTAGGCGTGCTTTTTTGTTTATATGGAAGCAACAGGTTTCGGTTTTGCGATACTCGGAGTTATTCTAGACTTATCAAAACACTCTTTGAATGAGCACAGATCATTTGAAACGGCAGATTCGAGGGCTGGTGTTTTGGGAAGCACTAACGAAGTCGTCCGTCTTAGCTAATTTCTTGGATGATGCAACGGGAATGTCCGTAATGTAGAGGCTGAGACTGTAAAAAAAGATATTTTTGTTATAATAGGTAAATCCCACATACAAAGGGGACAACCTTATGTTACAAAATGAGTCATATTAAAATAAAACCTGTAATTGTGTTGTTTACTTAATATTATGTTCTAGACGATCGAAATCTACCTGACGCATCAATGGGTCACCCTTCATTCTCCGAGTCGAACTTTCGAGGCTGCTATAAAAAAACCCAGTCTGACCGCACGGCGATCGGGTTTATTCCGGAAGGTGACTACCCGCTTCTAGATAACGGTATTTGGATATAAATACATAGAAATTTTATGTAATGAGTTAGTCATAAGAAGATCGGGAAACGCGATTAAATTGTATCGAACGTAACATAAATAGTTGTAAAGTTAATTAGTACATTAGTAATTAGTTATCGTGGGTTTTAATAAATTAGAATATAGACAATACATTAGATTTAAAGACAATGAATTAGAACAATATAAATATACTACATTTATATCTATAGGACAGCAAGTTTGCGGCAGGTATACACCAGAAATGCCTCAAAATTTATTGTAGTCATATCTCAGACAGATACTATAAAAATTTTGTTTTATACCACAAAAGTAATTTCATTGGAATAAACAAACGGGCATATCTATGTATCGTGGATCTTAAGAAGGCATTTGACAGGGTCAAATTAAAGGACTTTATCCAGTTATCCAGTTATTGGTAAAGAAAACGAACTAATCACCACTAGACAAACCCGAAATCTGGAATACCTAGGCCACGTGATGAGGGGACCATAATATGAAAATTTGAGACACATAAAACAGGGGAAGATTCAAGGATGAAGATCTGTTAGCCGAAGGCATAGCTCATGGTTGAAAAATCTACGTGATTGGTATCAACCTCTGTAGGAAGACGGCACTCTAAGAAGAAGATCCAGTTATCCACTTATTAGGTAAGAGATGCCCTTAGGAATAATCACAACGATCGAAAATATTTACCAAAATAACACAATAAAAGTAAAAGTACAAGAACTAACTGATCCTATTGAATCTGGCATTGTGATAAAACAGGGAGATTCCCTGAGTCCTCTTTCAGCCCTATTATGGACGAAATCATAAAAAAGTAAGAACTAAAAAAAAAGGACACCAAATGGGAGAGAAACAACAATTTAAAATAATTTGCTATGCAGACGACGCAATACTATTCTCTCAAAGTGAAGATGATTTACAACGTATGCTGCACCAATTTAATATAAACACTAGAAAATTTAACCCGTTAATTTCCTTAAAAAAAGACAAAATGCATGGTTATAACAGCAAATTTACTGTAAATTGGAGCTGGAAGGTCAGATAACAGAACAAGCGATGGAGTGTAAATATTTAGGCATCACATTATCTAGCTACGGAAAGCTAGAAACAGAACTAGAGGATCAAGTGAATAGAGCAAACAGAGCCGCACGTTCAGTGAATGAAATAATATGGAGAAATAAAAATATCGGGAAAGAAATAAAAGGCAGAATTTACAAAACAATCATCAGATCAATAATAACATACGCAGCAGAAACGAGACCTGATACAGAGAGGACAAAAAGAATGTTAGACACAGCAGAGATAAAAACACTTGGCAAAGAGATAGCAAAACACTATGGGGAAGAGCTGGAAATACAGATATACGACGTAGATGCAAGGTGGAGAACATCAAAGACAGAGTAAAAAATAGAAGAATAGAATGGAATTATCATATAAGCCGAATAACAATAGAGTAGTAAAGACAAGAGATGGTTTCCCAATAGGAAGACGATCAGTAAAAGATCAGATCAGTGGAAGACCACGAAAACGATGGAACGACAACTTACTTGAGGCGCATTGAAAAACAGGCACGACTCATGCCTACATAAAAAGAAGAAGAGAAGACGAAAAATAATTTCATACTTAATGGATAAACAGGCGTGTATATGTAAGATTGTGTTTACGATCAAACGCATAAAATTACAATATCTGGGACACGTTATGAGAAATCAGCACCGTTACTCCCTGGTGCAGTCTATATTGCAAGGTAAAGTCAAAGGTAAGCGAGGACCAGGTAGAAGGAGAATATCATGGCTGCGGAATTTAAGAACATGGTTTAAGAAAACCTCAACGGAGCTGTTTCGAGCCGCAGCGAGCAAGGTTATGATTGCCAATATAATTTCCAACATCCGAAACGGATAGGAACCAGAAGAAGAATATGTAAGACAAATACAGCCAAAAAAGAAGTACAGACTGGTAGAAAAGTGTTCTTATTGATAAAATCAAAACATGAATAATGCTTCAATTTCTGCTACATTAGGTGGTCAGTGGAAGCGGCAATATGATAAAAAACACAACAATTTGATAAGAAATCCGAAATAAAGTATACTCTACGTAACTGGCAAACCATATATGATTAAGTTGGGTTAAGCCACCGTCATGAAAGAAATTGGTGACTTATTTTTTGATGGTTTCAAGTAATTAACAAAAATCGTTTTTTTAATCGTCAAATTAAATCCGGTTTTTGGAAACTAAAAATAGATTTTTATTTTTTTACATGTGTCATGTTTATTAATATCAGTGGTAATCAGCTACGTCGTATTAGGGAGATAAACTTAAACTAAAAGTAGAAAAATTTTAAGATACTTAGGTATTGTATCCAAATAACAAAATAATATACTTCCATAGTAAAAACTACACTTTACCTATCTTCTAAAATAATATTTTCGTATTGATCTGCTAAGCTTTGGTCTATTCCCAATAATTCTTGGGCATATGCTCCAGAACAGGGACATCCTGCCCTCGCTTGAATCCCGAAGACATCGTTGAGAACAGCGCACACGAAATTGTGGTGAAGAAAGCTTCCTCTAGGATGTCGTACAAGAAAGGAAAACACAGGTATTCTTTTTAGGTTAGGTGAGTTATTTCCTAGGAGGATCAGTTCTGGAATGGTTCTGATGTGCTGAAGCATTTGTCTAAAAGAAAAAAAAGTATAGCTAGTAAGAGAAATTATAATTATTGTATATTTTAGATCAATCATTTTGAAATTGTGTTTTTAGAATTAATTTAAATAATTTTTAAAGTTGTACATTGATCAAAAGGAAAAAAGGAACCTATGAAGATGTTCGTAGTTTTGAATTAATTCTTTTTATGATTATATTTATTATTTTTATTTAATTACATATAAGCCTTTTCGCTATAAATACAGCTAAGTTTTTCTTGTTGAACTTTAAATTTTCTTGAGAAAATAAAAAGTGATAAATGTGAAAAATTCGATTTATTTTTTTGATAACAGCTTTGCTAAAAATGATTTTAAAACAAAACTAATACCATGTATGGGCTCCCCAACTTAACTTGCTAAAGTTGCTGCACAATGTCCAGGCATGCTTTCAATCATATTTCGAATATCGATTTCTTGATCTAGATGTTGTTCTCATTCTTCTGCGAAAACTTCCTTGATGTTGTAGCTTTCTTAGTGGCTGGCGATTCTTCAAGCGCTTCACGAGTGTATCCCAAATGTTTTCAATGGGATTTAAATCTGGACTCCTCGCTGGCCACTCCATAACCTGAATATTGTGCGTAGTCAAATAATTTTACACGATCCTGGCCACGTGTGGTCTCGCAATATCTTGTTGAAGGATAAATTTTGGACTCATATTTTCAGCAAATAGGACAACATGCGGTTCAAGAACTTGTCAGAGCCGCCATTTAAAGTTATTCCCACAAATCATAATTGAACCTTCACGAAAAGCCTGGGCTTTCGTGAAATTCTCTAGTTGTTTTTAGTTTGCAAAAGCGTTTATAGCTTAATATTCAGTTTCTGTTTGTGCTTAGTTTAGTCAATTCTCTAGTTAATTTTAATTTGCACATGCGTTTATAACTGAATATTTAGTTTCTGTTTCTGCTTAGTTTAGTCAAATTCAATTTTAGTCAATTCAAGTTTAGTAAAGTTATTTTTAGTTAGTTGTTCTTAGTTAATATTTAGGTTAATTATTGTTTAACGAGACGTTAATTTTTACAAAGGCAGAATGGTACGTACTGTAGCCGACAAAGTAGCAGCTGTGTAAATCATTGGTGAATGTGGAAATAATTTCCATGCAGCGGAACGTCTTTTTAATGAGAGGTACCCCGATCGCCCTACATCGAGAGCTTTTTTGGAAGTTTAAACAAACAGGTAGTGTTCAATATGCCAAACGATCTGGTCGACCAACAATTAGTGAAGACAAAAAAATTGACATAATTTCAGAAATGGTAGTAAACCCTACTTCTTCTACAGCCCAAGTTGAATATATCTATGGAATCACTCAAAAGACAGTACACCGAGTGTTGGCTGAAACAAATTTGGCTGAAAACCCCGACCAAAGACTAGAATTATGTGAAAATATGTCCAATAAAATTAAACAACAGACCGATTACATAAAAACAATTCGTTTCAGTGACGTAAGTACTTCTTCTCTCAACGGAAATATTAACACACACAATGTGAGGTATTGGAGTGAGGACACAAATCCTCACGTTTTTGGTGAAACACATACTCAATTTCCAAAAATAAATGTTTGGGTAGGTATTTTGGGAAACCAAATAGTTGGGCCTGTTGTTCTCAATACTAACTTAACCGGTGAAGTGTATCTGAAGATGTTACAAAATACAATTGCACCGTTAATACTTGAAATTCTGGAGGATAATTCAGATGAATTTGGCAACTTGGAAATAACGTTTCAACAAGATGGTGCTCCTGCACACCATAATGGTATAGTAAGACGTTACCTAGATGATGAATATCGTGGTAGATGGATTGGACGAGGTACGATAGAATAGCCAGCTCGGTCACTGGACCTCACACCATTAGATTTTTTTCTGTGGGGGTATTTGAAATCTAAAGTTTACGCTACAGCACCCGACAATATTGACATTTTGAAACAACGAATTGTTGAAGAAGGTAGGGCAATTTTTCCCCACACATTTGAACGAGTACGGCAAGAGTTTAGAAATAGGATGCATTACTGTCAGGAAGTAGATGGAACACATTTTGAACACTTACTATAAGAACTGGTTGTTAAATATTTATTAATTAAACAAGAAGCTACAATTTTAGTATTTATTTAATTTATTCATCAAATTGAGCTTAAACTCAAACAAAATTATTATGACTGAATAGGTATTTTCAATACCTTTTAAACGAGGTATCACTTGCCATAAGGTCCCAGTGGCGCTGTAACGTCATCTGACACTATTACGTCACCTAGTTGAGAAGCCTACGTCTGTTTATTACCTTCCTCCAAATTTCACTATTATAACAATCGTCAAAAAATACAAGGAGGGAACGGACTCTTAACTAGCACTGTATGTGTCTACTGGGTGGACGTACATATTTAAATTCTTACCTAATGCAATAAATAATTTACATTAAATTAAATTAGTGGCTCCTTTTTCGGTTTGACCAGTGTATATAAAATAATGCACGTAAAGTTAAAAGATCTGTAAGTGAGAGATGAACTTCAGAAGTTTGTTGAAATTACGAAGAGTAATATCAGAATATAACGATTTATGATAAACATAAAAGGTCACAATAAATCACATATTATGAATAATTGATAATTATTCCGAAAAGACCGCATAGAAATCAAAGAGCAAAGAGCTATTATTCGTCAAGGCCTCAAGGCTGGGAAAAACTTTCGAAATTTTACCCACCTGCGCAGAGAGCAGACAGATAAAGTATTTGGGCAGAACGAAATGGATAAGCGCCGGGACTCGTCTGTTTGACCTAATTTTTAAACGAAATTTACAGCTTGAGCTTACTTTTCTTATGAATAAATACTAAGATAAAATCTAAAAGGGAAATTCACAATGGTTGACTGTAAACCATAGTTTAAAAAAAAACTTACAATGAAGTAAAAACTTCTTTTTGTATAATTATATAAAATTGTATTATTACATTTTTTAAAAATGATACAAAATGGATTTATAAAGTTTCAGAACGTTTTAACATATTATCCAATCCATCCATTCCTGGTGCAAGTACCTTTATTTTATACCTGGTGGCATACATGTGAGCCATGCAAAAAATGTTGGTTGTTTTACTATAATTCTGATTAATAATTACTAATACGCATTTATTAATTATCTTATAGGGAACGTTCCTGTAGATATGCAGGACAGGTATGAATAATGCTTCGCCAAATAAGTACCCGCGGATCAACGGAGGACATGACACAGGTCAGCAGCTGTGTCATTAGTGGCCCGTGACTAAGGAATACAGTTCCTGACAGGTGCGGTACCACAAAGTCGCAGGCGAAAATCAAATAGTGATTTAACCGGCTGTGATACTGCGAACACTCACCAACCCGTCCGGCAAGCGTGGTGTTTTAATGAAAATATACCCCTCAAAACACAACATGTTGAAATTGATACAAAATGGGACGATACCCCAGGTGAGTAGAGCTAGCAGCTTAGAATCCCACACCGAAAAATCGGTCAGCCTCACGGATTCTAGGGGGGGGCATAAGCTCAAAAAACGCGCCAAACAAACAAAAACAGTTACTACTAGCCACATACAACATCCAATTTATGGCTAAAGATGAAAAGGTCTACGAATTAGAAGAACTATCCAAGATAAAGTGGGATATTGTAGGACTGTCAGAAGTGAAAAGAAGAGGTGAACAATGCATGCATCTACACTTTGGAAATCGCTTATGCTATACTGGGAAAATAGACGAAACATATGGTGGAGTAGGATTTATTGTCAAAAAGTATCTCACGCCATACATTTCTACATATCAAAGCGTTTCTGATAGAGTAGCTTATATTATAATAGAGCTAGATAATAAAACCAAGATCAAGGTTATACAGAGGTAGTTGAAATACAAAGAATACCTTTATTATGGAAGATTTCAACGCAAATTTGGGTAAAAAAGGAGAAAATGCTGCAACCAAAATAGAGATGCATGGTTATGGCAAACGAAATGAAAGAGACACACCGAAAATAAGAAAAATAACGTTAAAAGACATCCATTCAGAAACAGTACGCGAATACATCTACCTGAGACAGATAATGAAAGTTAAAAAAGAAAATCAAACTGCCGAAATTACCAGAAGAATAAGATTAGGGTGGGCAGGATTTGGAAAACTGAGTGGGATCTAAAATAGAACAATATTTGTAAACCACAATTTACAATCAGTGTATCCTCCCTATACTCACGTATGGCTCACAGACGTGGACACTCACCAAGTTTAACATGGATAAAATAGTAAAAGCACAAAGAGCGATGGAAAGATCAATGCTCGGGTGAGACTTATAGACAAAAAAAAAACAAAAAAATGGATTAGAAGCAAAACGAAAGTAAAAGGCGCAGAAGAACATGCTGCCAAATTAAAATGGAGCTTCGCAGGACAAAATGCCCGACTGACGGATAAGAGATGGAACCACGAAATACAACAATGGAGACCATGGTTTGGAAAGAGAAGCAGAAGAAGATCACAAATGAGATAGGCGGATGATATTAAGAAGATCGGAGGACATAACTGGAAGCAAGTGGCGGAAATAGAAGACACTGGATTGATTTGGAGGAGGCCTATGTCCAAAGTTGGATTACTTAAGGCTGAAGAAGAAATAGGAGTTTTATTAATAAATAAGTTTCATTTCAGACTCTAAGTCTCAGCAAACGGTGGTACGGTGCGCGAAATGACATATCTTCGCCACAAGTTAAAATGATCGGAAGCTCAGCACTCGTCTAGTGATGTGTCTGCGAGGTTTTAGTTACTGCCTTACTATATTAAGTATTAATGATATCTGTTATTCAAATAAACTTTCTTTCTCCACAGTTTCATTATCACCATTTACTTAAACAATGCAATTTACTTCACTTGTACTTTTGACTACAATTTAGTTTTTGAGACATTCTCTTTGGTTAATGAATTTAAGATAATCTATTCTAGGCACTATCGAACTCCTTATTTAGATCAATAAATGTTACAA